AAACAGGGCAGAATTTGGAGATGATCAAGTGTCAGTCTTAGAGTCTGTGGAAAGGTGCAGAGCTGCTTCACCCATGCACCATAGCAACAGATCTGGTGTGTCTTTTTTGCATCCACTCAGCCCAGTAGAAATCTGAATTTTCACTTTGAGGCAGAGAATGGAGCAAGGAAGGAAGGAAATCTGACCACAACAATGCTGCTGTAAGGGTTTTCAAGGTTCATGCAAATGTAAAGCAAACATGAAGGAGTTCAGTTTGGGAATCGGCATGAGGATTGCAGTAATTCACACTGTGAATATGAGCTTTACTTGGAAGAAAGAAAAAAGTGTATACACTGTGCTCATCTCTTTGGTGTTTGTTGATGCAAACTCAGTAACTGCACAGAAACTGGGAAGCTTTGAATTTACCCTTCCATCACACCTGAAGGCACATGAGTCACAATACCAGCTGTTTATTTTTTTTTTTTTTGCTTCCACATTCTCTTAGAGGTGGGCAATTTATTTTCCTACTGTTCATCCACAGCACTTCAATACCCAAAAGAGGAATGTCTTCTTCCTGGGGGATCCTCAACATCACAATGCAGCCACATGTTCTGCATAACCATTTTGGCATTTGAGCTTCACTCTTTTTGTTTAAAGGAAGGAGTTTGTTTTTTAAAGGAACAAAATTTAATTGCTTTCTTAGAAATGCTTTTGCGATGATAGGACAGCTGTGGGAGGAAAAAAAAAAAGAGAATTTATGCTTAAGCAAAGGACAGGGAAAGGTCAGAAAGCAATCTGTAGGACTGCAGAAACACTGCAGCTATACCTCAGAACAATTTCTCTGAGCAATGAAAGGAGAAGTGAAGCCAATTGCATACACCCCAAATACAAAACAAAAATAAAGTCAAAATAGATGTCAGACTGCATTTTTGCACTTTTTTGTCCTTGTATAAGAATAGTGTAATTTCCAGGCCACTATTACATCAATCACATTGTGATCTGCTACTAAGGCTGGAGACAATGCAATTTCTTGTCAGTCATCAGTCAGTGGCTCTAAGGATGGATTTAATCATCAAAACAATGCACAATATGCAAGGCCTGTTTTTATTGTGAAATGTGTTTATTACTTATGAGCCACTGTATGGTGATTTTCTTATAGTAATGATTTTTTTTTTCTTTGATTTTTCCTATCACTACTTCTGCTAGCAGTTTCAGTATATAACCAACCCCAAAAAGTTTACCATGGGGAAGCGACTTGAATACAAAAATAAAATTTTTGGCTAAGAAAAGCTTCCTGTGGCAAATTAAAATTGATGGGAAGAGAAGATTGTGGCATATTGAAAGGTATTATATTATGCCAACTTTCACTCCTGCTAAGTAGCATGTTTTTCTGGTAATATCTCATATTGGTTTGAATGTGATGACTTAAAAAGTCAGCCACTATTGATTATCAAATCAACAGAGCTACTTGTCCTGGAAGGTTTACTCAGAGGAGTAACATAACAAAACCTAGACCTAGTTTATCATGTAAAGTACTAACCTTGTTATTTCTTGGAAGCTGACATGAATTCCTAGTGAAAGTAACAAAGAAAAATATTCTTGCTTGCCTCATACTAGACACATACAACATCACAGCATCCAATCACATACTGTGGTATAGGTTAGAAAATCACAAGTGACTGAGCAGTAGTCAACTATGTACTTGCTATAAAGAATAGAATTTACTGAAAACAGAGGATATAGTCTTCAAAAACATGTTCACAGACATTTCAGTGCTTTTAGAGAGGGGAAGGTGTCAAAGTGTTAATGAAAAATGAATTTAAATATCAGCATTGAAATGTTCTTATCCAAATGAACTAAAATATTATTTAGATAACATTTTTTTTTTAACTGAAATATATCAGCTGTTTTACTAGAATTTATTTTGCTGTTGTCAGTACTGTATGTTTGCCCTTTGTATCTAGAAACTATATCTAGACTTGTCTCATGGACCAAGTGGACATGGTACAAGTTTCCAGGAGCTGCCACTAGGAAGGAAATGTAGGATCCCCTTCCTTCACAAGTCTAGGGAGTTTGACAACATGCACAAGATGTTCCAGTGTTTTATTTGATTTAAAAGGCATAGGCAAGTTAAATTTATAATGTAGAATTTAATGGGCTGAAAACGAACTGTTTTAAAGATCTCATTATCAGCATTGTTTGTTACAGAGTTTTTACAATTATTTTGATCACAGGATGCCCCCAAACCAGTCTATCCTCTATTTAATTTATCCTCTAACTTTATCCCAGTCCCACACTGTTGTTTCTACAAAGACCCATGAAGTCACCCATGCTAAATCATATTTGGGGATATTCTAGATAGTAGATCAATTTTTAACCCTATCAGATAGTAAATTAGTAATTTGCATTTTGTACATAAGATGTCAAGGATTTAGAGAGATATTTTCAGCCTGGAATAGTTCTGATATTTAAAGCAGAAATGTGATGTTATGTTTAAATGGCACAACACTGTGTGTTACAGAGGTTCCTACTCTAGGGTGAGTACTTTTGCACGACTCGGTGCTGCCCAGCAGCAGTAGATTACAGCAAGCCTTACTGCGTGCCCAGAGTGTTACTGCCAGAGCTCTGGGCCTTTGGCTGGACTGAGAGGCTAAGGAGAATATTATAGTATAATATAGTATGATATTACTGCTGTTGCTATGACAGTGCTTACAGACCAGACAAAACCAGGGTTTGTCTGTGCTAGGTGCTCAGTTATTTCACTTATGGTAATTTTTATCCTGTTAGCTCCCTATCCAGGAAATGTAAAACAGTTTAGCTTAGGGCTAGCTTTGGCAGAAGTTTGGAGTTTATCTATCCATAAAAGAAACAGAAAAGCACAAACAAAACCAGTGTGATGAGTATTGGCAATACAGAAAAAACCTGAAAAGTGAATTCACTGAATATGGCATAGCAGCAATTACTTTTTTTTTTCCTTAATTTTTTTTTGAGTCAACACGTCATCTGAAAGAGACTGACCCAGTTCCAGCCTGAATGTGTTGCCTCTAACATAACTGTACTACCGAACAGAAATACTAAATATACATTTATTATTATTATTATTATTATTATTATTATTATTATCATTATCATTATCGTTATCATTATCATTGTTATTATTAATTATTGTTATTGTTGTTATTGTTATTATTATTATTATTTGATTACTATTCTTCAAATCATGATAAACCACTTGCTAAATGAACTGAAAACACTGTACTCACATTCTTAGGAGTTACTGTATGTACAGTCCTGAATGTGATGAACATGTTTTATAATTTGTCTTTGAAGCAACACAGCATAGTGAAACCTGATGAAATTCCTGCATGCAAGTGCAGTGGAAGCCATTACCTAGACCAGAAGCTATTTCACTTCTGCTGCACCAGAAATACACTATATTTATTGGAATTTATAAAATAATCATGTTAGAGATTTGTCAGAATATCTAGTGATGTGAAAACGATTCATTAGCTTTTAGGAGAGGGTGCTCCCATGTGTGAACAACATCAGCAATAGACAAAGTTCTGTTATGATAAAATGAAATGAAGGTGGATATAAATGAAGGTGACTGAAGCGTGTGAGGAGAAAATATAGTCCATAACCCAGCATCAGGGAAAAAGATTGCCTCTTTCTCTTATAAACTTGGTTTCCTCTAAGTGTGTCTGGAAAGGAACAGGGTATGGAAATTTGCAAAGTAATTCTCAAAGTCTGACTTGGAAAAAAAACAGAAGTTAAGAAAGAATTGGAAATCAGAATGTCAAAGGACAGGTTCTTTCCCCTACTGTTGAGACAACTTCATAAAGGGAACTTGGCCACTGGTGACCCAGCCTGCCTGCAGGATTCCTGGTACAGTGGGTAACGTAAAAGCAGTTTAGGAGGCTAGAGGTTTCTTTAACATCACAGATACTGATGAGAAAAACTTTCACATTTTTTAATTGAAGTTGTATGATTAATACCTTCTGAGAAAGCTTTTATAATGATTAGGAAAAGCATCAGATTGGATGATTCTGTGTACCAATAAAAGCACAGTGAAAGAGATCTGCTGAGTGATATTAGCATCTCAGGTAAATGTGATGAAACCTTTAGAGGTGTTTAGAAGAATATTTCAAGAATATAATGAGAATATCCTATGTAATGTAAGGGAAACAAATGAATGGTCACAAAGCCTGCAAACTGTGTAAACATTTGGAAAATTACATTCCCATTACTACTTACTTTGTCACAATAATTTCTGGTCAAAATAAGAAAAAATGGGGTGAAATTAATTAACATCTTGTTCTCACTTTTTTTGGTAGTATGTAAAATCCGTCTTTCCCTCACTCATTGTCTGTTCTTCTTATGCAGGCATGTGTGTCCACAGTAAATCAGTCTCTTACAATAATTGATTTTGAAAATTGAGAACATACTTTAGACATTTCCAAAGGACTCACATAGATGTGGTACCTCTGTACCTTCCCTTACCCCAACAAGTTCAATCTCTAACCCAGTTTAAGCTACTAAAAGACTTGATCTGGTTATGGATGGATAAAATTTTTAGTCCAAATGCTGGCCTCCCAGTTTATAAGATATTCAACCTAAAGCTCACATCTATGTGTCTCCAAATATGTTTCTGAATGAGACTAGATAGCTTTTGTTTAAATCCATGTTTCTTCTAAAGAAGTAACCATGACATTGTACTAGTAGGAATTTATTGTTCAACAGATGAAGACTATGGAATACAGTCTGCCAGACCTGCTATGACTACAGGCATTCCTCTTGCATTTTGTTGCATTATTTGATTTAAACATGTATGTAAGTACCAATGAAAGATGTGGTTTTAAATCATCACACCTAAAAACTGCGTGTATAATTTGACTTGTTTGCAAGAAGTAATAAACAGAATTTACTTGTTTAATTAATAAAAGCTGGAGCATTGATTCTATTGTGTTTTTTCCCAGGCAGATAGTTCTCCCATACTCGGCCTCCTGCACTAAAGCATTTACCTTTAATGCAAAATGGTCCATCATAGGCAGTTTTGGAGCAGTCACAGGAGTAGCCATTGTACTTCTCGACACATTTACCACCGTTTGCGCAGTACATCCCATAGCTTGTGCAATGGCCAGAGCAACCAGGCTTCACCCCCGGCGTGACTTTTGCTCTCTCTTCCAGGTCCAGTGTCACGCCGTTCATCCTTAATGAACGAATGCAACCTAGGAAGCCCCGCTGGCCTCCTGCAGCACCTGAGAGGGAATGTAAAACTGTGAGACAACACTGAACAGATTTTACTGTTGTTGCTTTACATAAAATATCCTGCTAAGCTTGTGACAACAGCTGGAAGTAAGTAACTTCTTTGTAAAGTAAAGGCAAGGAATTGCCTTGTCCTAATGACAAGGAAATCAATGAAACTTTACCTTTTGATACCATACCATAAGTAAGCATAAATAGTAGGTGCGTCTGCTTTACGCTGATTAGACATTAGCAATCCTACCCCTCCACTGTAAGACTTAATTTCATTTCAACTTCAAGAATTTTAGAGAAAACAGTGAAGAAATGGGTTTGGCTCGATTGTGAAGATATAGCCTTCCTCTCCATATGATTAATGATGATGGATGCTAATAATAATGCCATAATATGTATTACATTTTTCAAAGCCACGATGAGGAAAGAAGGAAAAGATTTAAATCCCCACTCTCAGTTGCAATAGGAAATATAGACGTCCATTTCAAAGCAATGTTTGGTATATTGTTCAGCTGCCTTAGGGTGAAAGATGTAACACTGAGAAGTAACATTTGAAAATCTGGGTTGAGATGACTTTTCTTAGCAGTCTGAGAACTGCTCCTTTTTTCCCTCTTGTAAACACTTGCTGAAAAATGTGATTTCAGCTAGGAAAGTCTTATCTGGGGCTGGATCAGAAACAAAATAACCCTCAAAAATGCAAGCAAATAACAATGAGTGCCTGTCATCCTTTCTCCTCATCCTCTCATGTCTTTGATTACTGCAGTGCTGCAGGTGCTGAAGAGTCCCTGAGGAAATCTGAACACTCCACAGAGATATTTACCTGAGTGGGAAAGGGGACTAAATACAAACCAAAGAGAGGGCTGCTCCAAATTAACTGCTGGTATGATGGATGATTTGGAGTAAGAGGCAGTGCTTGGTCTCTGCTGAGTGCACAGGGCAGAAGCATTCTGGTGTTGTTCCATTCTATGTAAACTCATACACACTGCAGTGATGAAAAAGTCCTAATCCATGTAAGTCCCTTCTTTCCTCTCCTGGTGAGTGTCCTAGCCCCTAGGACACCATGTCATCACCCCTCAGGCGTTTTTGTTGGCCCAAGGGATAAATATTTATTCTACAGAAAGTGGAACAGGAGACAGTGAAACAATTCTTGTTCAGTGTTATTCTCCAGGCCCTGATGTTCAGGGTGTTCATTTGGGACACTTCAACTCAAATCAGTTCTCTGGGTAAGGATTTAAATCTGTCTTTGTGATGTGTGCTTCAATTACCAAGTTATATGAAATGGCTATGTTTCAGAAAGAAAGAAAATCTTGTGCAGATTTGGACATTCTGTTTTTGGCAATAAAGGTACTACGTATTTCAAAACATTGCTGGTGTTACAGTTAATTCAAAACTACCAATAAAAATCAACATCATTAACAATTGCACAAGAACTCAGGCTGGAAAAAAAAATCCAGCTCTTCCTGTTTCCAATAAAATGCTTGGTATTTCTTTTAAAAGGTTAAGGTTCCCTCTTTTAAACAAACTTCACATTTCAGCTTATTTTGAAACTGACTTTTATTGGGATCACAGTCCCAGCAGTAAAGGAGAATCTGAGCTTGTAAATAATGACTGCACATCTGGTGACATATTATATACAGTTTGCAGTGACACTATGCTGTTTACTAAGGCAGTGAAGGCTTTAAACATAATTTTAATTTATTTCTGTTGTTGAACCCTAACTAACATGGGAAAAAAATGAGATAATGTCTTTTTTCCCTTCCACCTTCCCTCTTCTTCTGTTAACAGATACCTAGAGAGTTAGGAAAGTGCTTCTTTTCTCAACATTTCATGCAGTTCTGATTCCAGCTAATGGCACTTGGAATATCTGCACTTTGCAGCCCTGGGGCTAACAATCAGAGAAATACAAGTGCTTCTGGAATAGCCTGGCCAAAATGTATCAGAGATCAACAGCACCAGAAAGCAGCTGGACTAACTTGGTTCTAGGGAATGCATTTGTGTAACACTGTGTGATGCTTTCCTACATGAAATGGGCAAACAGCCCATGCGACTAAAGGGAAAAGGCTGCAGTGAGACACGTGAATGCAAACACGTGGGCAATGATCAAAGCCAGAGGCTTAAAGTGCTGCTGAGGCTAGGATGGGCACTGCAAGCACATGCAGTCCTGACAAGACCTATGCAGAATTTTTCACTTCTGTGGTGAATAAGCGTGTGTGTGTGACAGACATTCAGCAAAAAAATGAGTTTGTCACTACTGCCTGCTAAAGGCTCTTTCATCCAGGAGTTGCAGGTGGGGAAAGACAGAAATGACAAGTTGGCAGAGCAGAATGTTTTTCTCTTAGTTAATCTGGTTTCTGTAATTATGGACATGCTTGTATTTTCTTTTTATTTTTCCTATTCTTTTTCCTCCCACCTGTGATGTCATGCAAGTGCTTCAGGAGTGCAAGTTCCCACATTAAACTGACTGCTGCTGGCAAGACATGAAGCAAAGAGTGTTCAGCACATGAGAGCAAAGTCCAGCTACCCGCTTTGCATCTTACCAACATAGAGCTGGCTGTACAATTCCAGCCGCGTATGTCCTTCTGTCGGCGCTTTCCGGACCTCCAGCGGTAACTGGTCTACCTGCAGGCTGGCCTGTTTGACATTCCTCTCGGCATTGACCCGATGCCACTGGTCATCATTGAGCTGGTTGGGAGATCTAACGATGATTTCCACTGGCCCATTTCCAACATCAAATGAAAATGAAACCTCTGTAGCAGCTGGAACACCAAGCAAAAGGAAACCCATCTTACATTGTAAACAAATTCACTTCTACTTCCAAAAGAGAAAGGATTCATATTTATTAGACACCTTTTAGAATTTACACGCACATTTATTTCCTCCTAACTTCAGTAGGAGTTAAAGTATTTGCAAGGAAGCCATTGTGAAAAGTTTCTATAACATGTGATGGAAATCAAATCAGTTTGGCTTGTAAAATTTAACCAGGATAAATTATACTCTTGAAGAGGTTTTTTTATTTCTCCCAGTAATTTCAATAATATTAGAAAAACCCATTCACCAGCTTTTAGAAGAAAACATCAACAGACCCCGAAACAATGACATTAATTTGTGATTTCTACAGCTTTCCAGTTTCCAGTTTTTTTTTAGGGAAATATGCATATTGATAAAAAAGTGGTACAGAACAAGTGTTTTTTTTCTTTTCAGGGGCAATTAAATTTTTACAATTAACCAATAATGTAGTGGTAATGACCTATGTGAGATTTTATGGCTGAAAAAAGAAATGGATTCTTAGCAAGCACTACATTGCTCTATTTATAGTGGATGGTTCAACCATGTTTAGAAATTTTACAAATGTCCATTAGGGCCTACTAGACATTCTTCTGGGTCATTCTCAGTAAACTAGATAAATGATACTTACTATTAAACAGGGAGAGAGATTAATAATATATAGATGATTTTGGAATGAAGAAATAGAATTTTGACTTTCCTATCAATATTTAGTTTATATAATTTGGGGCTGTAAATTATATTATGGTGGTAAAACATCAGATGAAAGGGTTACCAGAAAATGGATTATCAGTGGATAATTACCAGAAATAGATTATTATTCAGAAAGAAGGATACCATACAGAAGTAAAGACAACAAAAGAGTTCCATTTAATTTTTTTTCCTTACATATAAAATAAAAAATCTACAGCACCCTTTAATTTTTCTGAAAAATCTCAGATGTCCAATTATGGTCTCAGTGTTCCAGCCCAGCTGTGGTTTCTTGTTTGGTTGATTTAATAAAACAGTCTTACAAAAATCTTGCTCAGTAAGACTATTAAATTGTAGAAACACCACTTCATGATCATTATCACTAACAAAACTGATAAATAGTGGGAAATATTTTTGTACATGGTCTGACATCACAAGGTTATGTCAGACTGAATTAAATGCATTTGTATGAAAACTGGAAGGATAGGAATAAAATTTTTACAGAAAATGTTTTTTTCAAACAAAGTTTATTATACAATTGACACCTTTGATTTTTTTTCTGAAAAATTGGCTATCTCTAAAAGAAAAAATTAAGAGCATGTTTTATTGCCATTGTACTCTCTGTTCTCTGCTGTATAGCATAATTTCATTTCTTGAATGAACTGCCTTTCATAAGCCATGAATTTAGTCTGTTTGGCCTTTTACACTTTACAAGACAGAAAATCTGTATGAGCCAAAGCTTGCCATTAGAGAAATAAAGATGTTTCATTTTAATGTTATTATGTCTTATAACTTCAGCAGTTCTGTCAATAAACTCAGGCAAATTAGGAATTAGAGCAAACTCTCTTCAATACTTAAGTTGTATATTGTGTTCAAGTCTATTTTCAAGGGTGTGTGTGTAATTCTCCTTTACTTCTTTGCTTTGAAGAACTTCTTTAGATCTCTTAACTGTCGGGCTTGCATTGCTTCACAAAAGCCATCTGTTTACAAGGCTGTAAAATGAGAACCCCTTAGCAGACTTCTCATCTTATTCTGAGGCAACTGATGGCACTGTTACTATTGCTTGTGGGTACCTTGAGCACAACCCCATCCAGGTTTTTTAAAATCTCTGCAAGAATGCTTCTTTGTCTGTAAGCTCTTTGTCTTCTGGATGGAAGCATCTCTAAGTTTTTAAAGGAAGATTATTCTTCCTCTAAAAGAGAAAAAGGAAGTGTAGATAATTGGCAAATAGAGATATTTCAAGTAGAAGTTCTGTACCTATATAATTCAGCTTTATGCATGACTTTAAACTGAAATCTGTATTACAGTCTGAAAGACTTATAATGAAATTTGTAGTTATTGGAGAAAATTATTCACTCTGACATAAGAGTACCATTTGTATAAATTAGTATTATATTTTTATATTTAATCTTATAGTTAGGGAAGGAAAAGCATTCCAGAAAAATCTTCTCATCAACAGTCATTCTCAGCGCAGGTACTTGCTAACATGCTGAAAATACAGCATATATGGACTGTGCTGATTCATCCTAAGCAACCTAAAAACATGACTCTGATAAAACAGTGTCTTCATTTTGGTTGAGATAGAGTCAATTTTCTTTTAGTATCTGGTACACTGTGTTTTGGATTCAGTGTGGGAATAATGCTGATAACACACGGATGTTTTAGCTGTTGCTAAGTAGTGCTTATCCTAAATAAAGGATTTTTCAGTTTCCCATGCTGCCAGCAAGTGGGTGCTCAAGAAGCTGGGAGAGAGCATGGCCAGGAAAGCTGACTTGAACTAGCCAAAGGGCTATTCCATACCATAGGGAGTCATGCCCAGTATAGAAACAGGGGGGGTTGGCCAGGAGAGGCTTATCGCTGATTGGGCGTCATCCAGGAGATGGTGAGCAATTGCCTTGTGCATCACTTGTCTTTTCTTGGGTTTTATTTCTCTCTCTTTTTGTTATCTTCTTTTTCATTACTATAATAATAATTATGATTGTTATTTTACATTATTTTAGTTATTAAGCTGTTCTTACCTCAACTCATAAGTTTTACTTTTTTTTTTTTTTTTTCTGATTCTTCTCCCCATCTCCCTGGGAAAGGGGAGGAGTGAGCAAGCAGGTGTGTGGGCCTAAACCACAACAATCAAAAGGGAAGAAAGTTATTTGCTAGGCTTATAGGCTGAAAAAAAACATGAAATATGCCAACAAAAAAGAGCTTTGCAGGTGAGCAGAGGCTCCACAACAGAATGTCTCATGTTGCTGCTTTGGACTTTTCATTCTCAGTTTCCACTGAAATGAATTTTTGGGTCTTCAGATTATGTATATTTTTCAAGTAGGGGCATCTCTAAGTAAAATGTTAAGGTACTTGTATCTTATCAAAAATGGATGAACATCTGGTAACAGACATGTTAGTCAGAAAAGGAAGACAAAATAAATTGTACCTCCCCTCAGTAAAGGAGACAGGGGATCTTAACAACTGACACAGAGAAGGCTGAGGTACTCAACAAATTTTTGGCTCAGTTTTCACTGGCAATTGCTCTTCCCTTATATCTTGAGACCCTGAATCTCAGGTCAGGGACTGCAGGAATTAAACGTCCAAGGTCAGGTTGGATGCGGCTTCTAGCACACTGTGCTACCTCAGTTCCTCCTTTTTCATCTGCAGGAAGACCGGGACAGGCTGGAAGAGTGGGCTAACAAGAACCTTATGAAGTTCAACAAGGACAAGTGTAAGGTCTTGCACCTGGGAAAACATAATGAAGGAGTGCAGCACAGTCTGGGATGTACTTGGCTGGGGAGCAGCTCTGTGGAACGGGACCTAGGGGTCCTGGGGCACAACAAGCTCAATATGAGTGACCAGTGTGGTGCAGTGGCAAAGCAAGCCAACAGGATGCTGGGCTGCATCAAGGGTATCACCAGCAGAGATAAAGAAGTCATTATTCCACTCTACTCAGCACTTGAGAGGCCACACCTGGAGTACTGTGTTCAGTTTTGGTCCCTGCTATGCAAAAAGGCTGTGGCCAGGCTGGAGAGGGTCCAGAGAAAAGCCACAAAGACAATCAAGGGACTGAGCAGCCTGCCATATGAGGAAAGGCTGAGAGAACAGACATTGCTCAGCCTTAAGAAGGATTGGGGATGACCTTATTCCACGTTCCAGTGTTCAAAGGGTGGCTACAAAGAAGATGGAGACTCCTTTTTTACAAGGAGTCACATGGAAAAGACAAGGGGTGATGGACATAAGTTACTTCTGGGGAGATTCTGACCGGGCACAAGAGGAAAATTTTTCACAATGAGAGCAATCAGCCACTGGAATAATCTCTCCAGTGGAGTGGTGGATTCCGCGACACTGGACACTTTTAAGATTCAGCTGGACAGAGTGCTGGGTCATCTTGTCCAGATTGGGTTTTTGCCAAGAAAGGTTGGACCAGATGATCCTTGAGGTCCCTTCCAACCTGGTATTCTGTGATTCTATGACTGCATTGTGAGATTCTGTGTTTCTTGGGTCCTTTCAAGGATTTCTGATAGATATGTTTTAGTTAAACACAATTTCTGAGGTGCAACCAAATGGGAGGTAGCATGAACTTCTGTGTCCTTTGCTATACAGAAAGTCAGACTAAATGAACTGATGGAGATTTCTGGCATTCAAGATCTATGAACAGCTAGGTCTAACATTTTCCTAGAACTACTTGTGTTTCATGTCTCTTTTTTTTTCCTATTTTCCTAGTTTGATATTTGTTGATAAACTGCAGGCTAGGATCTCTAGCTGTAGTGAGGCTGCCAGCAAAGAAAGAGACCCTGACAGATGGGTGGCTGCTCATAAGGTGCTAAGCAGTGGGTGGAGGTTCTCAAGACACATCAGCTGTGAAATAAAAGGAGTGATTACAGGTCTCCTCACAGTCAGTTTTGTATGTCTGTGTTTCTATTTCTCTCCTCGCCCACTATCCTTTCTCTGAAATGCATACTTTCATCTCCTACCTTGTACTTTGTTTCTCTTACTTCCCCTGATTTATTTTTATACCCTTCAATGGGACTCACTGATGTTTTAGTTGACTTACATCAAAGGGAATAGTATCTAACTTCTTTAGGAGCCTTTTGGAATCCCATTCTTAGAACATTAATGCCTTGTTATGGCTAGAATAGGAGCTCACATGTTTGGCTGTGAAACAGAATACAACAATAAGCTATAAACTGTAGACTAAAACTTGCCAGACAGGTATTTCCTCCCTCCACTTTGCTTGCTTGATCCATGAAAATAACAGCTTGAAAATATTCTATCTCTGTAAGGGCAACATTTGCCAAAC